TGGTAGGGAATCTACACGGAGGTTCTCTATTCCGGACTCGTGACATCTCTATTCTTCGTGAGGTATTCTTGAATAGTATCTAAGACCTCTTACGATCCCCGGACCTCTTACGATCCTCGGACCTCTTACGATGCATCCTATGATACATACATAGGAAGCGTACCTTACGATAGGTACGTAGGAATGGTATGCTCCTTCATTCCTTTCTTCAAAGCTTCGTATCGTACGTATACTTCCTTTCAATACGTACGTATCCTATCCAGTACGTACGTATCCATTGCATGTGATCATTTCTGATCACATTTTTTTGTGATCAGTTTTTATCACAATATTGAAGAAGGGGTATTCAGGAATTCTTTTTTTTTTTCAAAAAAAGTGAAATCTACTGTACATGGTTCCAGGTATCTCTTCAAAACAAAGCTTTTTGCGCAGTCTACATGACAATCATTTCCTGTCCCACACATCGTACCGTACTGTACAACTACAGAGAAAGAGAGGTCGGGACAGAGCATCGGATCGCACTTGCATTGGCATCATCTTGATCAATTTGACCATGATGACGGGACAATTTATTCGTTCAAAATTAGAATGACGATGAGCTTCGTCAGGCCTTGCATTGTCTCCGGATTGATGTTTCATTTGATACATTCAACAAGTATCTCTTTGCGTTATTTGGGCCCCGTGTTGACACTGGTGGTGGCTGCCAACGGTTTTCTCGACTCTGTTGTGACGACCCCCCACAGATTTATGTCAACGGCGAGGCACTGTGATGAGACAGCAATGGGTGTTCCTAACGATTTAGTAGAAGCTGGGAAATCCTCCCTCGACGAACTCCACTCCAAACCCCGAAGTCTGCGTCGTCAAATTCCATACGTCGAAACATTTGAAGAAAAAACTGTCCGTGACCTCTGGGAGAAAGACCCATTCGATGGACACAAGTACGTCGTGAATGCAGTCATCATTAGATCCAGGAACAATAATGAAAACAGACGAAGCCCAATCCTAAATTGTTGCGATCGAGAACCAATGCATCCGCTATCATTGTCAGGTTACGAAGACTCGTTCGATCGAATCTATCAGCCATTCTCCACTGAGAACGAATCAGATTCTACTCGTGACAATATTAGTGGCGGCGGCAAGAATAGTTTAATTGAAGGAGCAACAACTGCTTCCATCGCTGCCAGCCCTTTCGCCTGGACTCCTCCAAAGAACCAGAAAGAAGAGGAAAAGATGCAAAATTTTTATTTGCAAGTCGCCTACGAAGGAAATGCATTTTGTGGATGGCAGACCCAGCTGAAGAATTTGGTAAAACCTTCCGTGCAGCGGACCTTGGAAGAATGGTTGACGGTGCTCCAAAACAACGGGCATGCACTAGAAGCTGACATTATTGTAGACGCTGTAAAAAATGCCGACAGGAAACGAGAGAGGCGACTGAAAAAACAAGGGAAACGGGAGACGAAAAATGTGACCAAGAAAGACTCACGCAGCGAGAACTCGTTTTCTACCGCACCTCGGATCAGATGGGCAGATCTTCCGGTTGCGGGCCGCACCGACGCAGGAGTGTCCGCGATTGGACAAGTTTGTCGGTTCCGAACACATCGGAAGGACCTTACAGCCGAAATGATCAGCGACTATTTGACCAATAGAATAACAACAGCGCCTGAGATCTCCCAATCCCTGGGTATCACCAAAATAGTAAAGGTTTCAAGATCCTTCCATCCAACCTTTTCGACCTCATGTCGAGCCTATGCCTATCTGATAGATGTCGATACGGAGCACAATAGTGACTGCGACGGTGTACTAGAGCTATTCAAAGGCGGAAGAGCCAAACATCAAATCTCCTTGTTAGACGGCATGTTGCAAAAGCTAGAAGGGAAAGCATTGGACTACATCGGTCTCTCCTACGGAAGAGTGAAGACGCTCAATACGATTTGTACACTGCACCATGCAAGGGCGAAATTGGTCCGGTACGAGACTTCTGCCGGAGCAAAAAGCCGTGCGCGCACCGCCGTGTGCATCGAGCTGGTCGGAGATCGCTTTCTTCGTCGCATGGTGCGTCTCTTGGTCGAAGCCTCCGTGCGGCTCGTTTCCACTGCGGAGAAGAACGCCGAGACCGAACCGCCGGTGATCGGTGGCATCGCAGATTGCGGAGCCACCACAGACGCCTTGTTGCAGCTCGTCGAGAAGCGGGACCGAACCATAGTTGGTCGCCCGGCTCCCCCGGATGGCCTCGTCTTTGTCGGAGCAAGATTGCCCTTGGCCTAACACAGCCATGTTTTGTTCTTGATCCGGCGCTGCTTTGTAAGGATGACAATTCATCCTAATGAAATTCCTCTGTTGCGCTTCTGCAAACGCTCGTGGACATAGAAAACGTAATGATTGTTTCACGTAGCCACATGAATATGCAATACAATAAGGTAGAAAGCTGTTCGTTCTTGTGTCTAGGGGGATAATTGTTGTGGGTTTAAAAAAAAAGAGACTTTACGAAATCATGGATGTCCGAATTGTGATTCTTTCTGGTCACGACTGTCGCATCGACAGCCACAATGAATAGCGAACGGGCAAGGAGATCGAATCAACAGCTGCTCGATGGAACGCCAGATGCTTTCTTCGAATCGAGCGACTAGCGTTTTAGTTCTTGCATTCGAGTCGTTCGAGTGACGATGCTTGGTCACTGTCACCGTCGCGGGAAAGGGAGTCGAACATGCTTTCGTCCAAGAAGGCACCGCGTTCTTCTTTGTTCCCGCCCCCGCCCATGGGCTGCGCGTCGAGGCGTTCCGATGCTCTTTTCCAGGCATCCCTCACTACCCGGTACTTGATCTTGCGATCCGCATCGTCTCGGGGCTCCAGGCCGGGGAATCGATTCACCTCGACCAGCCAGGGTTGCAATCGGTGTGCTTCCACCACGAAATCCAATCCCAGTATCTTGGGAATCCCTAGTTCCTCTCTGCGACCCCTCCACCTTTCTTTCCGTTCCAGCACTCCGGAATCCAGTTCGCCGTCGAGACCGGAAATTCGTTTGGGGTACCGGACCATAAGCGTGTCCGCCGCCACCCGACGGATGTTTTCCCATAGCTCGGTCGAGGAGCGGCCTTTCTCGAAAGCACCGCTGCTGCCGCTGCTGCTGTTGTCCTCGCCGTCCAATGCTCTCCACAAGCAACCGAGATCCTCCTGCCGCATTGCGGCCTCCCGCCCCGAATTCGTCATGTGCATCGATGGATCTGTTCGAACATCGCGGCCCAACACCGCCGTTGGTTCGCCGGTGTGCCCCCCGGTCTCGTTTTCCTCTCCGGAAACAGACACGACGAGTGGGGTGGAGGCCAGCTTGACCAATCCCTCCGATGAAATGTATGCCTCGCTCGAAGAAAAGTACACCACGTATATTCTCAGGGAGAATTTGTATCCGCTCAGTAGCAAGAGAGGCTCGACCATGCGCTGGAGGAGATAGGGTTCGGCTCTTTCTACTCGATCGATGCGGTCCTTTGCCGGTGGTTCGTTGCCGGCCTGGTTGTGTTCCCGGACCAAGAGAGCATTCTCGACCTCTTCGTTCGCTTCGGCAAAGGTCAGTATTCGATTTCCGTGGGACCCGTACCCCGCTCTGCTTTTCGATATCCAGAGAAGGGGGCCTTTGCCGGAATGGCCGGCGGTGCCGATGGCTGCCGGGACGTCGCTCCTCTTCTCCGGACCGGTAGCCCTCTGGCCCGGTTTGGACGCCGAATCGGGCAGGACGAGCCCCTCGGGCCAGTAGTCGGGAGGCGGCAATCCCTCGTGGGGTGCCGTCAGCAGATAATGGAGCTCGATCTTGTCGTCCAGTCGGACCAGATCGGGATCGTCGAGGGGCGACGTGTTGATTCGAACAAGCTCCCCGAAGAGCTCTTCGGGATTCGTGCCATGTCCTCCGCCGCCGGGAGGAGGGCCGATGGCTCGGCCGCGGTGCAACTGCCCCAGGACCCCCGCAATCCACCGGTACAACAAAAAGGCCGGCGCCCCCCGATCGGAAGGGTTGCCGGCACCGAGGACGCTTCCCAGCGCCTCGGACACGCCTCCCGGCCTGCCCGTCTCGATGTACCCGAGGCAGGAGGACAGCAAAAGGGCCTCGTCGTCCGGTGCTCCTGCTCGATCCGGCACCAGAACCCTCCGGGCCAGGCCCACGTCCCAAGAGCTCCGCAGGATGCAAGCGGCGGCCCCCGATCGGGCCTCCTTCTCGAGGGCGGCAGCGGCGGCGTCGCTCTCACTCTCGCCGGGCCGGTGGAGGCTTTCGGAAACGCGCAGGTACTCGTCCGCGGCGGAAGAGTACTCGAGCAATCGCTGCAGGCACCGGGCCCTCGCCAGCCTCGAGCCCGCTGCCGCCAAAGGGTCGCTTGCCCCTTCCAGGCAGGAATCGTAGACGGAGAGTGCCTCCGCGTCGCGGCCCACCCGCACCAGACAGGAGGCGTACAGGGTCTCGCAGAGCGAGCGGACCCCGGGGGCGAGGACCACCCTTTGGGGGGAGGACGGAGGATCCCCCCCGCCGTCCTCCTCCGTCGTTGTCGCCGTCGTTGTCGCCGTTTTCGTCGAGGACAGGACCCTCTCCCAGACCGCGCAGGCTTCCTCCGCGGCGGTGACGTTGCGCCCCGCCTCCTCCGACAGCCGCATCCCGCGCTGGATCCTCGCACGCACCAGGGCGGAGCGCTGTCCCGGGGACAGGGCCTCGGCCCACCGGTGGAAGCCTCGCCGCCCCGGGCCCGGTCCGCAAGAGAGCCAGCCGCGGGCCAGGGCAGCGATCGCGACCGCGAGTGCCATTGCGAGTGCAAGCAAAGGCCTTTCCGGCCGGAAGGGCCGCTCCGGCATGGTGGTCTCTTTGCCCGCGCTCCTTCCGTTCCGCCGGCGCCGTCCGCGAAGACACAGACCTCCTCCACCACGCCCTGCGACGAGTCGGTCCCGTCTCGCTACGGTCCGGGGAACGCCCGGCCAGCGGCAGCGGCAGCGGGTTGTCGCGGTGGTGGGGTTCTCGGGCTCGTTCGATGTGCGGTGCAATGCCGTACGAACCGCGTTGTTCCGGATGCCCGTCGTGCCTGCGGTCTAGACCTTGACGACATGTGGTGTTTGTTTTGCTGGTGTTTGGTTTTTGCGTGAGAGAGTGTACGGTACGGTACAAGTACGTACTCGTACTTCTCGTCAATCACCCCGATGCTGAAAATAAATGCACGCGCGCTCGTCTGCCAGTGGTTCGACGGTGACGTGAATCTGGAATTTGACACATTTCTTGTCATCAAGGCAGCAGACCACAAAAAACCTGAAATGTACGGTACAGAGAAAATGTCATGATGGGAACAAATCAAGAGCAGACCGCCGACAACAAACAACCCTTATCTCTCAGCCGTCGAAACCGTGGACGACGATAGCTAAACCTCCGCCCCCCGGTGACTCGAGCTACTAAACTTGAAGCAGCAAGGCTAGTACTAGTAGTAGTGCAAATGGCAGGGACGAGAAGGAAACTCCCCGGTGACTTTCAAGACAGAATTCTTGCAGCGAAGGCAAATGGCGGGATTGTTGGATATAGCAACGAGAGGGCTCTGACCACAGAAGAGAAATTGTTCAAGAAAATCCTTGCCTCATTTAAACTAAACGAAGCAACAATTGATGAGATTTTCCGACAAGGCATACACTCTTTTGACACAGATTTCTTTGATCTTGGTTCTTTAATCGAATGTCTAGACGATGATACTAGCGAGTATTGTCCAGAGCCAGTCCGTTTTAGGTTCTTGGATATTTTACGCATGGAGACCCTTGTTGAATGGATTAAGCTTCAACCTTCCATTGGCATCACTCCCACTCCTGCAGAATGGTTTCAAGACCCAATGGCAGAAGAAAGGACATTCGAAATGGTTCTTTCTTGTAGAGGAACCCGGCGTTGGCAGCAGCACAACGCATCATTTGATACATACAAGGTCAAACCTCCCGACAAACTCAGACGCATGAAGGACTTTCCGCATTTTGAGTCCCGTTTCATGAATTACATCACGAGTCTGTTCAGAGCCACCAACGGAGCCTCTCTCCATTACATCTTCCGTGACGAACCCACCGTAACAAAGAGCGATCGACATGGCACCATCGGTCCGGATGGGACATACTCCAGCTGGGACGAATACCTCATCCGTTGCATGGTCCACTCAGGAAAGAACTTTGAGAAAGATAACAACCGCATTTGGCAAATCCTTTCTGAGTTAGTACTTAATCGCAAAGGCAAGCGCTGCATCAAACAGTACCCAGGCGACGGAAGAAGAGCCTTTTTTGGTTTAAAAAAGGAGGTCATGAAGTCTTCCCGCGCCGTGTGCTGTCGCTATCGCAAGTTTGTCCTGTCCTCAACATTCCATGGTGGTACCTCGGATGATTTTTATCAGTACAATTCCAAGTGGTTTCAAAACCATCACTTAATGACCTATTATGGCGGGTCTCTTGACGAGACCGAATACTATCGGGATTATTTGCTGTCCATCCAGGATCCAGGTCTACACCAAACTGTTATAGACCTGTTACACCCCACGTCCCCACATTATGGGGACTTATGGGCTGCCATCCCGAAACTCTACGGGTTCCATTCGTGCATTAACCCTTCTGATTCTGACCTGCTCAACAGAAATGCTGGCAAACGCCGACGCAGGGACTCACCAGGCCGGAGGAACAGGAGCAGGAGCAGACGCAACCCCAAGCGGTCTCGAACCTACACCGGCACCGTGGAGAACAAATTCTACCCTAAAAAGGTCTACGACACATTCTCACCCGAACAAAAGATGGAGCTCTGCGACCTTCGGCATGCCAGCGCAAATGAATAAAGCGGCCAGCGCTGTCGTTCGTCGTCCACCACCAGCACTGACTCAAGCCCAAAAGCCTTGCCGGTTTCGTTCCACCAGTCATGCCTGAATGATTCCGGGCGTTGTTTCTCCAAGTCTCCAACCACAGTACCTACGGTACCGTTCTGGGCAACCGCACTACCTAGAAAGTAATATTATACTACTAGTAGTAATTGTTGATACTTTTCTTGTAACTCCTACTTTCCTGTACATGCGTACGTACGAGTACCCGGTACCCTTCAAGTTGTCGTTCGCGTATCATCTCGTACCTCATACGTACGATGTACCTTACTTTAGTCCCAGGTACGTACAGAACGATAAGATGCTACGTACGTACCTATTGTGCCTACCAGTATGGGAAGCCCACAACATTAACCCTTCAATAGAAATGTTCTTGTGGACATCAACAGACCAAACAATGCCTCCCCGGTAGATCGGTATGCACCTCGCCGCCAGATCCACAAGACGGACACGAGAGTACCGCTGACGACAAACGAACCCCCCCCCCTCCCACCGGCAACCCTGCCCAGACCTACCGGCACGATGGACCCGGACGGCGGCCGCATCAACGATCCACCCGGTGCCGTTCCCGACGGGTTTTCCGTCTCGGAGAACGCCGTCCCGGAGGAATCCTGGGAGCGGATCCGCTCGTACCTCGGGTTGCGGATCGACCAGAGCGGCAGGGGGCTGCGCATCGAGGGGCCGGGTGCCTCGGGGATTCCGTGGGAGTCCACCCCCTTTCCACAGAACCGACCGGTGGCGCAGTTCGGCTTTCGGTACGACTACGAGAAGAGCGCCGTGGCCGCGGGCATCGGTGCCGGGGAAGCTCCGATCCCGGGCGTGCCGGAGCTCTTCCGGGAGCTGCTCCTACAGCCCTACTACGACGAGACGGATGCGGCAGGCAAGGGCGGAGAAGACGGCGCCGACGAGAACGGCTTTTCCCAGTGCATCGTCAACGTGTACCTTCCCGCGGCTCCGGAACACGCCGCGGGCAACCCGCCGCCGGTGGTCCCACCTTCCATTAACGGCTCCGGCGGGAGCAGCATACCCTGGCACGTCGACGATCCCGCCTTTGGCCCCGTGATTCTCGTCTTTTCGTTCGGTGATGCCCGCCCGTTGTGCATGCGGCTGAACCACGGCGAGAACGGCGGCGACCGAGGGAAGGGTCGGAGCCACTCCTGCAGCGACGGTGCCGGCTCCCGTTCGTATTCGTACTTCACGGCCCATCCGCCACACCGGTCTCGGTACGTCTTGTCGGAGGCCGCGAGGGACCGGTGGGAGCATTCGGTCCCCCCCGGGCCGGGCTGGAGGGTATCGATCACGTTTCGGACACTGGCACGCGGAAGCGTAGCCCAGACGCAACCATGAGCGAGGCGAAGGCAGAACAACGGAGCAAAAGCAAGGAAAACACGAACAGACATCCCTGCCAGCAACTTTGCCGGCAAGTGCTCCAGACGTTTCCAGGGGGAGGGACGGGGGGGGATGAACACTACCGAACGCAATGGGCAGGGAACGAAGAAACAGAAAATCCATGCTGCCGGGTTCCGGACAGATAGAGAGACACATACAATGTTCATGACGGATGCGTTGGATTTTGGGTTCCAAAAGCACGTATAACTGAGATTCTAATAGCTGCAGTATCGGAGGAAGAGCCGAACTTCCGCACATATCTGACAACACGACCAACATCGAGATGCGTGAAGCTCGCGGCATCGCGAAAAGGAAAGCCGTATTTCCCTCGTCTGGCACCTCTCACGTCATGATCCAACTATACCGTGTTGCGACCACAATCCGTTTGTGTTCTTTGCAATACGGAATGGCAATGCAAACCATTTGTTTTCAATTCTTTGTGAATTCAACTTTTTAGCTCTATTTTTCGTTCGGCAACGTTTCCGATCGTCTCTGAGCTATCTCTGCGTATTTTTCCCAATCGCTGCATCGAATACAAAAGGACAAACGCAAACGCGTTTAAGTTTTTCTCAGTAACACTCGGCCCGGCGATTAATCGATACAAACAAAGAATTGCGAGCTATTCAATCGACTCACCTTCGGATAACAATGATGGAATACAAAATAGTCAACAAAAAATAACCGATCGCCATTCCCGTGTAGAGGCCTACAAGATCATTTCTCCAGTAGGTTGTTAGAATGAAGACGGCAGGGACCTGGCCGCCCCACGAAGCAACGAAACCCATCCAAAACACTTCCTTTGTGCGACTATGGGATGAAAAGAATGTGGGCAACCATCGGTCGGTATCATTCGTGAGAACAAGGATAAATCACGAGTAAGGGTAGATATCAAAATATACTTACCCCATAGAATATGGTATCCTCTCAATGGCAACAGAAAGATTCATAAAGATCAAGGATATGGTAAACGGAACAGAGCACTGTTGGAACAACGAAAGAAATTCTTCGTCGTTCGTAAAAATCAACCCGAACCACCGATTTTTCAAGAGTATGAAAAAACCAAGAATGCAGAGCATGATCACAACCATCCCGATGCTCACGTGCCCCGCTTGCCTGGCACCGTAGGGATCCCTTTTTCCCAACCGAATGCTCATATTGATTGCCGCGGCACCCGCAATAGAAACGACGAATATCAGTGCGATCCACATGATTCGATAAGCAGTGTTGAATACAGCAACATCTGCTTCTCCTAGAGATGCTGCCATAGAACCAATCACGGCGACTCTCCAGAAGTCCGAAGAAGAAGACAAGGCGGCTGGAAAGTATAGTTCAACGAACGTTTTGATTCGGTCCCAAGTGATTTCCGACGCCTTAAACCCTGGCCAACAAGGCTCGTGCAGTTTTTGAATGTACACAAAAACGATGACCATGAATAATAGCTGGACGTATGTGACCGAAGTTGTAACAATCGGGCATGCTTCGAAGCCAAACCCTGCAAATCCGGGTATAGGCCACCCCAGCACAAAGATCAATCCAAAGGCGAGATTCGCAAACAGTCCCACGGCAGACGAATAGACTTCGGGGTACATAATCTTTTGTGCGGAGAAATACTGGGACAACTGCCCAAATGCAATCATGCCAGGAATTGCGAAACTCAGGAGTGTCGAATATGTTCCCGCCATCTTGGAAATTTCAGGATCGCTCCCAAACCGCAACCATACCTGTTCGGTGAGATTCCAAGCAACAAACACAAGGACACTAGTGGCGAAGAGGACCACGTAGGAAACCTGAAGGTATATTCCTGTGCACAAGTTAGAATCCATTCATCAAGGGAAAACAAAACTCGATCGGATTGGAGGCTCATCCGTGAACGGAGAGACATGATTTTGCAGATCAGAACTCTGCAGACAGAGAGCGCAACGATAGTGTGCCATGCCACATGATACTTCAAAGCGATCCTATGGTCTCACCTGCCAATTTTGGATTGCCCGCTCCCACGGCACCCCCGATCAAAACTCCCAGAATACGACCACTGAGCAACACAGATGTTGTCATAGTCCATAGGTCCGAGAGAGCAGAAGCTGCCAATGCCTCTTGGCTGAGGTGACCTAGAAGAAAACGAAGGTTATCAAAGTTTTCAGATCCAATGCATCTGAAAAAGGAAATTAAGGCGGTGTCTCCACTCGTAGAGAACACTGAATGTTCGACGAAGGATTGATTGTAGCAATTTCTTCTTGTTACTATTTCTTACCTAGGAGTCCAGTGTCCGTGGTTTTTTTCTGCATGGAGAATTTCAGATGAATTGTTTTGATTTGTATGTAATTAGAAACGACGTCGTGCACAGACCAGTACAAAGAAGATTAGGAACACACCGGTTTCGTTGGTCTATTTCCTGCTCCTTACAACAATTGAATCCACGCAGAATCACTTCAGAGATGACTTACACCAACCCACGAAAAACTGGTGATGAAAATCGGTATCGCGAGTTTCAAGATATCGATTGCATCTTCTAGTACCGTTTCGGTAGATTTAGTCGTCGGCGCTGCCGATTTCGATCCTCTTGCCTCGATGTCATCGGCAATCGCCGCCGCCGCTGTGCCGCTACTCTCCGGAGTTTCCTTCTTAATAAGCGGCTGGGATTCCGTGGCTTCGCTGGCCAGTTTTGTCATCTTGTTGGTGGCTGCGAAATCAATTTTACTTATTGGATTCCGACCGAGGCAATCAAAGCATTTGAATGAAATTTGTTCCAGTAGAACATCGCGATCAAAATTGGGACCCAACAAGATTTTGTCAATCCCAACGCGTGATGGCCGTTGAGCAGTACGGTAGAGCTCAGAACTACGTGCAAGCGCAATGATGTCAAGTCGCACACACAATTTTCTTGCACAAAAAAGGCCTTTTTCTACTCAGCAATGGAACTAGTAGTAGTACCAGCACACATCAAAACAATTCCCATGGCTCCTTACTACTACTGGGGAGCTACTAATATCAGAGGTTAGAGAATTTCCATTGCTGCTTACTGATTGTGGTGCTGGTGGTGGACAACAAGAAGAACCTCCTCAAACTCTTCTTCCTCTCTTCCAGCAGCAGTGGTGTGAATTTCCCCCCCCCCATCTATAAAATTAACAAATTCGCATGCGTATTTTGTGCTGCCCGTATGCAAATATCTGGCCATATGTTATCGTACCACACATTTCTCATGAGGAGTTTGATGCCTGTTCTCATGGTCATTTCCAATTTTTGTTACTCCAAGCAGTTTTTTCTCTTTTCGTTGACAAATCATCTCAATTATTTGACAAGTATCTCATGGTGTTGTCAGACAAGGCATATTTGGATTATCTTTATTTCTGTAATCAGTTTCCAATTTTTCTCTGCTCTTGCCAATTTTCTGCTGCCTAGTGACAACTCTTCTACTGCTGGTGCCAATTTTGTTTACTTCACTGTTCAACAATTCTATCTAATCAGAAAAGAAGATTTCATAGCATGAATTTTTGTATCCCTGTTGTCACTCTTCTTGGTTATCTTAGTCGTAATGTGTCATTATTTTTCAAAAAAAGAATATTGGTATTACTGTTATCACTATTCTTGGTTGTTATCGTAATGTATCATTATTTTTACTGCACTACTTTAGTTCAGTATTCATACTGGTTGTATCTTCAACCTCAGTTCATTTAAGATCTTGTTATCCTCCMAATTTTTTCGATTGAAATTCTTTCAATTTTGTGCAATTTTCTTTTTCAATTTTTTCTATCCTCCTTATCCTCTCCATTGTCTTCTCTGTACTCTGCTCTTACTAGTGCTTGTTCAATCTCCACTGAACCATCCTCAGCTCTTCCCTTTTTTACTTCTTTGACTAACTTTCTGAACAGCTTATGTCCCTTGTAGCTCCAGCCCTCTTTGTTACCAATCCTGCTATCAGTTAATCATTTTCTGGTTTTCTTTCCACTTCCAGAATTATTCCAAGGTGTGTAGCTATTTCTCAACATCCTCCGTCTCTTTCTGCTATGAAGCAATTGCCACTGAACAAATCAGTTACTACATTGTTTCTTTTGTGGTACAAAACCATCCCCGTGTAGTTTAGGAGGTGGCTGCTTTGTAGCATTTGCCTAGAACAGTTTGGCAAGTTTTGATCAGACTGCTTCCAGTACTCCAGGTGAAAACAACAACCTCTACAATTTGATAGCCCATTGGTATAGCTCCTCCCTTGTGGCAACTACTAATGGTATGTTTTGGTCTCTCATAATCTTCATCAACTTTATTTTTACCTTCTTTGGGGGTGGTAACAACCATTGATCAATGGGTGCTTTGAGTACATCAACAACAACAGAGTTGGAGCTTCCTCCAACTGAATGGTGGGTCAATCAAGAAAAACACCATTGTCAAGATCAGAATGGAGAGATTCATTGCAGACTCTATTAACACACTATCAACTTTTTTGACTGAAGGTTCTTATACATCACTTGGTCATCAAGAAGATTCTGCAACATGCCAATAGAAGGGCCGTCTTGTGTATTAGCTAACGCAAACTGCTGGCTCACGCCAAGAACCTTAATGTCCCTTGAAGTTTGCACAAGGAAGAACTGAAGTCATGGGTCCCATCACCAACATAGATATAATATGGAGGCAATCTTTACTGAAGCTAAGATGAGTAAGTAGTTTCAGGGATGTGATGAAGCCTGTTTTTTGTTGCGTTTGGCACTGTAAAATACAGGAAGCTGGTTTTTCCTGTATGTAGTACAGGTATCACCATCATACCCTTCTTCTTGCCATTTAATAGTAATGACCATACAAAATAGTATTTTTTTAACGATGGTTGAAAAAGAAAGCAGGAAATGAGTTTTTGCAGCACATGGAGTGATTGCTTACAGTAGTAGGTAGTTTGAATCATACTGCAACAACAAGGAGCTAGTAGTAGCAGCACCACATTCACCAAGCCTGTGAATGCCATCATGGTACTACTGCTACTTCATAGTATGTGTTCTACAGTACAAAGAATATGTGAATTGAACAAATTATGTGTCTGATTGACAGCTCTAAAGCCAGCAGAATGCACAGCTGAAACCCTAACAAAAAACTAGAACAAATGATGGAATCAAACTTCTGGAACTCAGAATGCAAAATCCAACCAAGAGGAGGCTAATTTATTTTTCAACCAGGCATCATGGGTGCCTACAGGAATCTGCTTGTGGCTCTGGCAAGAAGACAAGCAGCAAAATCAAGTCTTGATCTCACCATTCCACATACCCAGGAGCAGGGATGCCCAGACTTGGAGGCCAGGAGAGCAGCCTCAAGGCCAGCAAGAATTGCTTTTGAGAGGCAACAATGGCTTCTTGTTGTTGTTCAAAGAAGCCCTCTATCCCATCTAAAGAGTAAACAAGAAGCATAGTGACAACATAGTACTTGATGACAAGAAGTGTTCTTATTGTTCTTGTAGTAGCTAGTAGTAGTACTGTTGCTTCTTGTTCACTCTTTTTGGGTTGCCTCCTTGTCATGGGATTTCAATACTGCTTTCTCTTTGACTAAGATGAGGAGAATTAACACAAATTTCAAAGACAGAAGTGGTGGTTTCCAGAAACTGTGCACTGCAAGAATATCATCTCCGACATCACGTTCTGGTGTGTGCAAGTCTCTTGCATACGTCTACTGCTACTAGTACTTCTTTACTGCTGGTATCGGTATGATAATTTATTTTTCCTCCTAAAACCGATTCGAATTTCTAATTTCTACCGTATTCCCCGTGACTGCGACTGGAAGCGATCGGAAGCAACTTCTTCCGGTGGCAACAAACCGACAACATACCGCGTCAAAGCCGATCACCTCTCCCGTGCCGCCGCGAGTCAAAGAGAACTGTACGGTATGCCAGTATTCCATGGCATTGCTCGAAAAGACACGAACAACATACGGTAAAAGCTTGAGAAACAGTCAACAATGACGAAACTAACGAATCATCATGAGCAGCTTGCACATTCGAACCTACAGAAGAAGAATGTCAACTTTCTAACCAATCAAACTTCTTCTCGGGAAATGAAGATGACCAATCAAAATGCTTCTTTTTCGCCCCCCAAACCCAACACAAGCGATTAAATTCTTCTTCTAGATAATTTAGGGAGGAAACCCAATGAAAATGCGTTGGGCTTTCAGAACAGAACAACCGTTAGTCATGGAAGGAAGAAAGAATGAATCATCATCATCATCGAGATCGCGAACCGGAGAAAGAAAACCCCATGCCGACCTTTCGCGCGCTCCATGCATTGCACCGCATATATTTCCTTGGGCTGTGCACGCGAATTTCGGGTTTTCCATGCGCTACCGGTCCAGGTTGAAGACGAAAAAATGAGGGGTGGCGTGCTGCGCCAGGAGAAAGAATAGTGTTGACACGAAAAACGGCGATGCGGTTCCAATGCGGTCCTGGAGGGGGCGAGGCTGGGTGCGTGTTTGAAAATTGAAAATTCACGCGGGGAGAGAAAGAAATGCCCGAGATAACGAGAAACCAAGAGCAAGACTACAGAACACCATTGCATTAGAACAAATTGGCATCAAAGGCACAATCCAACTCTAGCATCCACAACCAGCTTGCGCAACCATTTGATCGCAAAGGGTACGTACCAAATTCTAGCGTGTCACCACTAGCTCCTGTCGACAGGCAACCCCGTTCCGTTCGATTCGTTCGTCCGTGTTACTTTAGCGTTGCACACGGCAGGACACAGCACTCGCCCCATGATCGGACGACGAAGACGGAGAGGATTCATTCATTCTTGATTGATTCTTCTTTCTTCCTCCCCACGTCTGGAAATCCCCGGTTCGATGTTCTATTTGGATTCAAAATTCATTCGGTCATTGCTCCCCATTCACGTATTCCGATCAAAATACGGAATTTTGATTGGTCCGATCGAAAGGCGGAATTTTCATTGGTTCGCGAAATGAACCACCTAGACGAGTTCTTGACACCCCCTGCCATGTCATCCTTCGAATTCTTGGAACTGGGGAGCAAACCGACGGAGATTCGCAACGCGAAGCTCGGGAGCCGAAACCCTTGTGTCTGTGTAGCCGCGGTACATTTTGGCACGGTACGCGCCTTGCATGCGATGCGGGTCCGGGTACTCGTTCTTCGTTCTGTACTGCCGCATCGTAGTAGCATACCGTACGGCAGCTTGGCATTTTGATTGCACACGGCGCTTGTGTGACAAACAAGCACTAATACACGATCGAAAATCGCTGTCTCCAATCAAAGGACGAACAGAACAATACCGCAACCGAGAACGCCAACCGGTCATTGCCCTTGTTGCATAGGCCACGAAAGAACTGACATCTTGTTGTCTTGCCCTTTATCGCCCATTGCAGCCTGCTCTTGACACTTTATGCAATTGCAGTCACATTTCCATTGGCCAACAAAAACGATACAAAACTGCAGGTCAGCAGCACAACACCACAACATCACATAATTCTACAATATAGATCTTCGATCATGTCGACAAAAACATCGATCGATACGTTGGAATCGCTCCGCGAAGTCCAACCGCAGAGACGGTCTCTCAAACGGCAGCGAACGAGATCGGCAGCTACCACAATGACAATGACCACAACCGCATTTCTGGCGCTCTCCGCCTGGAATGCCTCGCCCGTTTTCTCCTTTGGAAGCCTCGCCTCCTCCACCAGGAAGGGAATGGTAACACCAACATCGGTGCGCTTTACAGTGGACGAATACCACGCCTCGCACAGCACGCTGACCGCGGACGGCTTGCTGAGCAACACGCCCTCCCTCTTCCGGAGCCCTCAGCACCTGCACAAGCTCGAAGAAGATTACAGCAGCGGTGGAACCGCATCGGTGTCCGTATCGAGTGTGTACGGCGAAGACGAAACGAGGGACGAAGACCACGAGCCGCGGCGGAGGCTGCCTGCCTGGCTGCGCGAGGACAAAGGCCGAAGGGTACAGGAAAACATCGAGAAGCTCCGATCGGCCATGCTTTCCTCGTCTTCTTTCTTCACCGAATCAGAGGCCATGAAGGTAACCTATGCCATTCGAGAAGCCGCCCAGAACGACGCTCACAAGATGGCCGGGGCTGCCGAATTTTGCCTCATCATGGTGGAAACCATGGAAATGGGCCTGGACGCCCTGGTGGCCGCCGCCTTTCACTTCTGCGAGTGCATCGACGCGAGGGAGCGATCGGTCCGGTGGCCGAGAAGGGACTGCGGACATCCCAACACTAACCAGAGCGTGGACTCGCTCTCCCATTGGGAGTTCCGGTTGCCCCCCATCCAGATCGACTCGTTCGGGGATCACGCCGCAAAGATCGAGCGCGACGCGGCCCGCCTCAAAAGGCTGGAAGTCGTGGCCTCGATGGTGGTCCACAGCACCAGCCACACGAACAATAAGGGAGGCGGAAGCGTCGCCAAGAAGGCCGCGGACAACCTGCGCAGCCTCTACACCACGGAGGCGAAAGACTGGCGCGCCCTGGCGATCAGGGGAGCCGCATGCCTCTACCGGTTGCGCGGCATCCTCTCCGAGCGTCAGGCAACGGAGCGAGAGCTCGGGCGGAAGGTACCGCTCTCGAGGGACGCCAACCGCGTCTGCCGAGAGGCTTTTCGTATCTACGCGCCTCTGGCCAGCCGGATGGGGATGCACCGCCTGAAAAACGAGCTCGAGCACGCCGCCTTTCAGCTCTTGTACCGGAGGCAGCACCGGACCTACGAATCGCTGCTCCAGCAGACGCGGTCCTCCCACAGTGCCCGCTCGGCCTCGCGCCTCGGGGGCTCGCTCTTTTTCTTCCCCCAGAACCCCTCCGAGCCCAACATTGGGGAGAGCATGAAACAGGTGCTCGCTCACGTCCAGGCTTCCATGACGAAGGTCCTGGAGGGAGACGCGGTCTTTATGGCGAGCGTGGAAGACTTTCGGGTTACGGCACGGGTCAAGGAGAGCTACTCTACCTGGAAAAAGATGCTTCGTGACGGATTCGACCACATCACGCAGGTTCCCGATGCGCTGGCCCTGAGGATCGTTCTCGATGCCAAGAAGGCCCACCCCTCCGAATCGGACGCCGTTACGAGAGCCCGGGAACGCGCGCTGTGCTACTATGCCCAAGAGCTTTGCAAGACCGTCTGGAGGCCCTGCGAAAAGGACCCCCGCTTCAAGGACTACGTCGCCAACCCCAAGGAAAACGGATACCAGAGCCTCCACTACACTGCCGAAACCAGGTGGAACGATGAGGACTGGCGAATGGAACTCCAGATCAGGACGGGAGAGATGCACAAGGTAGCCGAATTCGGCGTAGCCTCTCACTGGAACTACAAGGCCCAGGCGAAACCCGGGCAGCGCAACAAGGAGGCGGCGTCCTCGAACCAGGACGGCAGCGATGCCAAGTCCGCCACCTACGGAACGGTTCTCGTCGAGGAATCCAGCAACGACTCGAGCAGCCAGCATCTGTTTGGAAAGGTCACGATTGCCAACAACGACCGGAGCTCGGACGCCTACCTGCGTTCCCTCCAGGAATGGCACTGGGAGAAACAGAACGGGTCGTCCCCGATCCGCCAGACCCCGCTGGTCCTGTGGGACAACGAGGCGGAATCCCTGGAGCGGGCCGAGCGCATCCGCGCCCGGACCCAGCGGCTGGCCCCCTACCTCGAGGCCCTGGCCAACGAGCAGGACGACCTGCAGCGCAAGAGCGTCTTTGTTTTTGTGGCACCGCTGGACGGCGGATCGGGCTCCCTTTCCAGCGACGACCACGAGGGCAGCGGCGACGGTCTCGCCCTGCCCACCGAGGGAACCGTGGTGGCGCTCCCGGCTGGAGCCAGCATCCTCGATGCCATTCGCAGGTGCGAGATTCCCATCGAGGGCACCGGCAACAGCGGCACCAACAGCGTCATTCGCAACGGCATTCCCGCAAGCCTCAACGCGCAGCTCCAGAACGGCGACGTCCTGAGCATCCCTTCCGTTCCATCGGCCTGCGCGATGCCCTAAGTGACTAAAGCAAAAACAACGCATTGCATCGCATTTCATAGGAGCAGAACGAGAGAAAAGATACCTGCGCCAATTTTGGGTGTGTGTCCAATAGATACACCGACACCCCACTACCGTTAATAGACTTAAAATAATTATAAACGAAAGTTATCACTATATTGGTTATTGTCCTGTGTTGTTCAACTAGAGAAAACGATTGCTTTTGCATTGGCACGTCCTAGGCTTCTAGACGAAAACCTACCGGTAGCTATCGGTAATGAATCTCAATACATGAAATGTGGGATTGGAATACGGATTCTTGTCATTTCCACCCTGTACCTGCATACCAGTACGTACTCTGCTCTGCATTCACGCTGTACTAGGGAAAGCGATCTCGTCAGCCTCTTTACGGTACCGTACGTGCCAAGCAAGGTCGCAATTGAAAATGCAAAATAGAGAGCATCTGGTACGTATTTTCACGACCTAGTGTTCGGGATCGCGGTCATCGATCTTCGCCACAAAACAGAACAAAAACCGGAACGGAACTGGAACAGAACAGGACAGAACATCATAATCATCCGGAACGAAAACCACAACAAAATTCTTCGTTCCAAGGAACCCGCGAAAAAAACTTTAGATTCCGTGGTCGTGACGAGGTCCCTTTCTTGACACTCGTGACCTACGACTTGCTCATGACCGAACGAACGGTGTTTCCTGTGGGTACAGTACTCAAGTATCGTACGAACCATACTTTCATACCGAACGACGTGTATTGTATCGTTTTGTACCACGAAGTACGATACCGTACGGTACGGTACATACAATGGACAATGGTGGAGTAGCGTAGATTACTATTGCTCGGTACTAAGTACGTAATACCTCGTCCTGTACGAACCGTATTTCGTTTTTTCCTAATACGAAGTACTACTGTACTGCTGCAATTCTATCCCATATCGTAGTTGCACCGTATGTATGTAACATGATACAGTATTATGATAGCATTGATGGTTTGCCTCATCCATTTCGATCTTTTATCGTTCGATAGTAGAAGTACATGGTAGCTATCGGAACCACGTAGTCATCATCAACAGAAGCCTTTCATGTCAATGAGCACATCAGTGGGGTGGTTATATTCTTTGTCGGTGATAACGCAGGGAAAAAAACCTAGCAGTCGTTATAGCTCTATTCTTCTGTGCACGATAGCACTGAATCGTTTGATACTCCAACACAAAACCACAAGATATTACTGGCGATCCTCCGCTCCTCTGCGCATGGTGACTCGTCGCGGTGCAAGGAAGAAACGACCGTCACCTTCTGCTAATCTAGACCGCTCCCCTTACTTTGCAAACGGATCGTCAGAGACATTAATTGCAGAACATCATGATATCGATGGCCTACACGACGAGAAAACAAACGGCAGCGCCAATGGTTCCTTCGTGGCCCCGCCGGGTGACTGGATTCTAACAAAGACCATCCCGGCGCACCTGATAGGGAATCCATACTTTGACAAAATCCCCGACGACGTCGAGGGTCGGAAGGTATCGACGAACATAGTCTTGCTTCGTCGGGAAAACACCCCCGTAGATTTCTCCCTATCCCAGGCGATTTGCAGCTACGGGTATTTCTGCTTGGCACCCAATCGCTGGGTGCCCGGGAGGCCTTCCAAAGGGGACGGGAGCAGCGGTGGCGACGACGACGAGGGATACCTGGTGCGTCCTCTGACATACGCGAGACCAATCCGGGACAAAACCGAAACAAACCAACCGACCACCACCCACACGGTGCTCGTGGCAATCGGGCAGGACACGACGTCGTCCTCGTCCTCGTCAACCTCGTCCACAAAGCGTTCCGTGGTGGTCGCCCTGCAATCGCACGTAGCACCGATCTACCATCGCCAGCTGGTGTCCCAGATCGACCGCATGCTCCGCCTGGACACCTGCCTGGAGGAATTCCACGGCCTGCACCCCGAGGCCAAAGCCCGCGGATTCGGCAGGCTCTACCGGTCCCCCACCCTCTTCGAGGACATGGTCAAGACCATCACCAACTGCAACATGAAGTGGGGCGGAACGGTCGACATGAACGCCAAGCTGTGCAAGCACGTCGGGAATGGAGGGGCCTTTCCGACTCCCCGGGAAATAAACGCGGTCGGGGCCGATTTTTTGAAGGAGCACTGCAGGGTCGGATACCGGGGCAAGTACATCTGGAACCTGGCCAGGGACATTGTGGAGGGTAACTTCGATCCGCACCGGGACCTGGAACTGCCATCAAAACCGTCGCCGGAATCACCGCACCGCCGCAGTTCCCGAGAAGAAGTTCAAAAGCGACTGCTCCGGATCCAGGGCATCGGACCGTTTGCGGCAAACAACATCCTCCAGCTTATGGGCTACTTCGACACGCACCCGTACGATACCGAGACCGTGCGGCTGTGGAAGGAAGAGTTCGGGGCGCCGGAGAAGGCTCCCAAGGCCCGCGTCTTTTTAGAGGCAAGAAAGCACTACTCCCGCTACGAGCCCTATTCGTTCACAGCCTATTGGTTTGACCTTTGGAAGAATTACGAGCGGCGGGCAGGGGCCCAATCTCCCATGTGGTCGATCGAGCAGCTGGAGGGCGAACGGCCGCAATGGGTGGAATCCGATCACAACAGTGTTTTTGCAAATCCTCCTCCAAAACCTACAACAGCAGCAGCAAACAGCACGGACCAAAGAAAAAGCTCGAAACGAAAGAGAGTCTAGCGACGCGTTGCGATTGTTTTGAACGGATAGGGGTAGCCAAGGGATACAATGGGATGGCATCGGCACACAACGCCTAATGTAGCTAGCATTTTTATCGGGTGCGATTTGTGTTTCGAAGAGAAAAACTTGAAATTCATGTAAAATTATTGAGATAACAGAGACGTCTCACCACGGTACTTACTACGAGGCTCTTCCTAGTTGAAACCATTTTGCGCATCGCTGTTGGGTGAAACGATTTCCACTGATAAGGGACTCGTTGCAAAGGTCGGTGAAACCAACGTCACTGTGGTATAGATCGAAGTAAAAGTTCTCTTCATACCGTAATCTCTCACTGAACACAATACAGAAATCTTGGGTGAACGATTCAAATGAAAGGATCGATGCATAATCTTTTGGAAATAAAAGAAACATCATCACAAGCAGTCGTAACAACCGACTAAGTCGCATCTGTTACCAACCTAGAATCTGATGCAAGTGACATTCAGTTTTGTCGACAGTTTTTGATGGCAGTTGATTCCACCTGTCTACCGCCAGCCGCGATTGGGAATTCGGTGACGGGCACACGTGTAACACACTGTAGACCCGCAATTTGATGTACAATGCATGCCATAAGCCCGCATTGTAAAACCACAGTTTGGGCAGTCACCCTTGTATCCATTGTTACGTATCCAGTGATGGTTACATGTTTCATTTGCTTGAAGGCCCACAATGGCACGGCGGAAGACCTCTCTCCGGACTAAATCGGGCAGTCTTCCTCCACCAAGTGCAGCCTCTTGTTGTTGCACGCGAGCCTCTCCAGCCTCTATGAGTTGATCCTCCTCCCATAATTCGCATGTTCCTGATGAGCACTGGGCTTGCTCGTTGTTCCAGTCTCGCAGACATCTGTAGCAAAACTGATGAGAGCAGCTTGCACAGGTCATATGGTTGCACCCCGACCGGAGCTCGATCAAAACGGAGCACTTAGGGCATTGTTTCCACCCTTGTTCACGCGACAACTGTAAAACAAGCTCGTCTGAACCTGACTTTGTTGCCTGATTTTGTCGGCACGTAAGTCCTGGATGAGATTCAGTTTTGCACGCTGTGCAGATCACTGTGCCACAGCCACAGACAAGCTCCAAGCTGGTGGATGAATCAATTAAATCGAGGTTTATGAACGACGAGCAAGAGGGGCAATACATCTTGTTTGATGCCTCTTTTTCTTCGACACGTCTAAGAATCAATTTGGCCTCATCCCGCTTTAGCAGGTCGTTTGCAATATTCATATCGATTGGAATCTCGCAGCAACGAAGAGGGAGCAATTTACTGTCGCCAAGAGCTGTTTGGAACAGTTTTCTCGTGCACTGGACGCATTGAAGATGACCACAAGCAAAATTATAACCTTTGAGGTTGTCTTCATAACATACGTTGCACTGTTCAATAAAGGGAAGATTGAAAATGCCGCTAGGTACATCCGCAGGCTTGGTATCTTCTTCTGCATCGTCGCTTCTTTCCTCATCACTGACAAGTGCTGCTTTAGGCATTGGTTTTACCTTTCCGGTACGAAAAGCCTCGGCAACGTTCACTTTGTTGTCGGAACAAGCTCGAGTGCATAGACCAAAAAGAGACGACAGACGATTATCTTCATGCGGTTGAATATTGGGTTCGACTTCTTGCCGGGTTTCGGTTCGTCGTCTCCTATTGAGAGTAGCTCGTTGTCTTCCACCAGCGAGACTCTCTGCATATTCTCTATCTCTTTCTGCTTGTGCGAGAAGTTGATCAAGGCGCTCTTGTTCTCTATGAGCAGCTTCTGCATCTTTGCATACATCGTGCCCTTCGTTCAACATTTTTTGTACGCGGAAAGCCATCATGTGATCTTCAATCACCTGTCGCTGTGTCTGAACGTCTATGTTTAATTCGTCAACAACACTTGAAACTGAGGATTGTTTGATACCACTCTTGCTCCCAGAGGCTGCATCGGGGTCTTGAGAATCAGCTACAGTGTCATTAGCGACAAGCAATGATTGAATTTCTTGCTCATGAACATCGATAGCAGCGGAATCTGTTCGAAGTTAAGGCTTCTAATGAGTTCCCACAAATACCTTCTCGCAGGCAAAGATATTATCCCAAGCTCCGATTGAAGTTCTGCCTTTGTCAGTGTCACAAGTGTCGGGCCATCAACTTGATTATTCGCAAGAGATGAGACAACATCAGGTGCTAGCTTTGCTTGAGTAGCCCATGCAGTGACGTCTGCAACGTTCCATGTAGCCGGCGGAGAAGTGCTGTTCACCATTGTCCCTTTGTGTTCGATTTGTGAGAGGCTTTAAAAACCAGCAAGGAAAGCCACTACCTAATGCGTTAGAGTGAGTTGTCGAAGTCGAAAGTTGAGAAAGAAGCAGTTGTTTTATTTCATCTAGTTCAGTAGCATACGTACTGACCACAACGCATTCGAAATTTTCATTGATCCAATAGAAATCTTGAGATGGTGAAAAATGTTGCCTTCGCTCAAAAAACTCGAAATGAAACGAATGAAATTTCAGATTGTCATTTTCAAGGTGATTAATACTAGAACAAAATGAAGATCATCATTTCTTTGCACATGAAGTAAAAATTTCGAAGTCGGTATGATTTTGTATCGCCCAATCAACAAACCGATCCGATTCAACCCATTGCATGAAAATACGTCCTAGTGAGTGTTTTTAATTGATCGATTCATTCGGCACACGATACACCAAGTTAGGCGGCGACGGCGAATCAGTCAAGAACGAATTATGACGCTACAGCACCTAGCGACTTCTCCATGCATCTCATCTCAAAATATCCCTCCGTTTCACCTATACTTTTTTATCACTATGTCATGCGCACCTCAACCGAACACCAAACAATTCGTTGTTGATAAATTCAAACAACTCAATCTAAACGAAACTCTTTCCCACGACGAAAAATATGATAGCGGAAGAGTAACAGATATTCTTATGTCGGGGAAAAAGCGGGGGCCATACAAATGCAAGGAGGTGAGCATAGAGTTAACTAGAACGAACGCATCGTGTGGAACAGGCAAGAGAGCATTGGTGGCTGATACAACTTCGGATTCGTTCGTTTCAGATTGTTGTTTTTGACCCAGTTCTAATGTTTTGTTGCGTTGCGTTTTGCTTCGCTTTGCCTTCCATTTCCTTCCATGGGGTAATTGAAACAAAACTACTTCTGTTCAGTGCGAGGTCCCCTTGAAAGGACACGACTGTCCATATAAGAAGAAAACAAAGTGCACCATCATCCGCCCAAGACATGTGGAGACCCAAACCACTGGTGAGGAAGACAAGAATAATGTTTGCGCGCAATGACGATATCAGACGATGCAGTGCTGATTGCTTCCCGCCATGACGCAATCGAAGAGCAGTGCCAGAAAACTAAGTAAAAGTGTTTTTTTGTCTCTTGTTTTATTGTTCACACAGAAAGCTTCCTGCAGCAGATGAAAGAAAAATGACCACAACATTACGACGTTCCGAGCTTTATTGGTGGTGCTGGTGCTGGTGCTGGTGCTGGTGCTGGTGCTGGTGCTGGTGTTTGTGTTTGTGTTTGTGTTTTGTGTTCTTTCTTCTTGTGCTGGTGGATCCAACAAGAAGTCCTTCTAGAAGTACTAGTACTACTTMTATTTGTAGTACTACTAGTAGTGGTAGTACTAATACTTTCTATCTTGTTGTTGTTAGTACTAGTACTAGTATTATTGTGATACTAGCTAGTAGTACTAGTAGTAGTAGTACTTGAGAATAATATTAGTAATTGCAAAAGAACGTGCTCTTCCCGCCGAAGGTCTGTTCGCACGACAATAACGTTGCTACTGAGAAATATACGATGACCGTACCTACTCTAGTGCTCGCGAGCCGACTACTCGTAGCTAGTCTTCCACTCTTCGCATTTGGACGGTCACGAGTTCAAATTACGTCGTTCGATGTCATGGTGTCAAGAGGCCAATTTTCGGCATTTTGATTGGCCAATAATTTTGTCATTACCTGTAGGGCATAAAGTCGATGACGTCGGCACGCAGCGGAGTTTCCATCACAAAGTTACAAAATTGTGCGTGGCAATCTAGAGAATAAATAAATGGCAACGACGACGAATGAATAATGAATCGAACGGGATCCTCAGCTCGCCCGTGATTTCGTGTGCCAGAGGGAACTCTGCTGTTTCATAGTGAAGGTGTCACAGGAGAGGGTTGAAAATACATCACCTCAACATCCATCGTTTGCACCTTGTCTCTCGATTTTCCCCCTCACTTAGACTAATTATCAGCAACACTCTCCCGCAGATTCTCCAAATTCAGTTCCGACTGCAACTCCAAGCCTTTTGGCCAGCTGCCGTTCCATTTCGAGACTTCCATCCATTGCATATTGATTTTTTCTTACACTAACTCATCAATCAAAAGCTGCATTGCACAAAAACGAGCAGCCAACTAGCCCCGTTGAAGAGCCAAACAGGAATCGCCATTCATTGATCCAAACCAGCAGTCTTTGATTTGCAGAAGAAGAAAGCGGCATCCAGTACGCTAGGACGCCGCAATGTGCAAACCCGAACAGGCATCGAAGGAATCGGACCCGCAATCGAAAGACGCTAAGGACGAGGTCATTGGCACAAACCCAAAGCGACAGATGTCGAAGAACAAATCTCAGCAGAAAGACGTCGCCAGTATGTCCTCGTCGGTCCTGTCGGGTGTCCTTCACGGAGTGGTATGGAACGTGTTTGCTGCCAACTTACCCTTTTTCCTGAGTGGTGCGGACGTCTACCACAAATTATACCAGCACGCGTCCTTCCGGTACGATGCAAGCATCTCCTTATTCGACAACACTGTGCTGACCTACGGGACCGACTATGCCATTGCGGCAATGACATTGGCCATAGCATTTTGGATCCTTAGGACATCGAACCGCGCAGAGACGCAGGTCGCCGCCAAGCTGTCAAAGCTTTCCGCGCTGATGCTCGTGCTGTACGCGACATCGACGTTCGCCGGGGGCCTTGGTCACCACTTCTTTCTCACCGTGGATTCCCGAAACACGAACCTTTTTCGGGTTCTTTGGACGGTATGCGTTGGGGGCGTCTACCTGGCCCCTATGACGATGGGGATGATCGGAAACGAGTGCCTACGGATTTTTCAGCCCCGGTCCAACTGCCCACCACTCCTGAAAAGCATGCCCCTCCTCACGGACACCTACTGGTGTCTCTATGGATCCATCGGCACAATTGCCTGGATCTTGGGATTCTCGTCCTTCCAACGGCCGGTTTGCGACATTTTCCTCGCGGGGATCACTCAGACCCCTTGCACCTTTTATTTCATGGCCTTTTTGTATCTGGTGGAGCACCCGGTCATCACGAACGCGGTCAAGAACAGGGGCCTTGTGGGCTTTATCATGAATGCCTTTCTGCTGCCCCTTTACCCGGTCCTGGTGTTCAATTTTGGCTTGTCGCTGGGGGTGGCGAACGCCATTCAACACGCGAATCTCTTTGTGGCCTGGGGATTGCAGGGAATGACGATGCAGACGGTGGTAAAAGCCCTGGTAGAAGAAAAAACAGAAGCATCGCGCAGTCCATCCTCCTCCGACCAAAAGACGAAGGATCAATGATGAAATCCTGTTTGCTGTGTTGTGAGCGCGGCGGGATTACCAAAAAAAGGGACAAGAGGTACGAAGAAGGACGGTACGTACCCGGCAACCCACACCATATGATACGATTGCGAACCAATGCCAGCAAGCAAGCGCATTGAATATAGATAGATTAGTAATGTTTTTAATTCACGCAACCTTCATATCCATGAAAGAAATCACACCATGCTTCCGTCCACTTTGTTCAGTCCTCGTCATAATATTAGCTTAATGTATTTTTATTCTGTATTGTTTACTTGTTCTTTTTGGACGATTTTCGTTTCGGCTTGGCCGTTTCACCGCCTCCCATGGCACTCTTGATCAGAGTTGCCACCAGGACCAGAATCGTAAATCCCATCATGCCCGCCATTCCGAAGATAGCGTAGCCGGCTAGGGGGTTGTTTTCGTAGATCGCCATTATTGGTTTCATCAGGGCCTCCAGTGCGGACGGGGGTTCGGGGATGGCCTCTGCTCCGGCCTCCACAAACCCGGTCTCCATAAAGTATTTCAGGTCGCTTGCCGTGGGGAGGGTCCGGAATTCGTTGTCGACGTCGCGGAACAGCGGGTATCGATACATGCGCTTCTTGTGCAGGTATACCAGCACCGGTAGCCGGGTGGCGGAAAACCGAAAGCACACACCGCTGCCCTTTTCCGAGCAGTCCACCGATGCGGTCAGGATCCCGCGTTCGTATAGCTCCTCGTCGGATCCGAGCTCGGCGAGGACCGGCTTGAGCGATTCGCAGTTGCTGCAGTTCGGGATGCCAAACAAGACTAGCCAGCTCCCGGTCGTCATACCCGTAGAAGCCTGCGTCTGGTGCTCGAAGGTCTCGTCGGTAAGGGTGACGAATTCCGCAGATGCGGTGGAAGACAAAGAAGACAAGAGAACCAGGCAACAACCTAGCAGGGCAACGATGGTATGCATCGAGGGCCACTGGCGAGATGCAGATGGCTTGGAAAGATATACGAAGACCATGGCAATGTAATGGTTTTTGCTTTGGTCACTTGTTCGAGTGTTGTCTTTGTCCTGTACGGTAGATTTTATTGTTGTTGTTGTTGTTGTCGGTTGCAATGATTTGAAACTTGAAACTATTGAATGCAATCCGATTTTCGATTTTCAATTCGATGCGCTCGTACCTACCGTACGGTAAAGTACGGTACTTTACTTTTCTTCCTGTGAATGTGGATCTTCTAAAAAGAAAACCATGCGGTTCGTCTGACCGATAGATGGACAGACAGAACAAAACCTACTACAGTACTTCATTACAGTAGTACTACTATTAGCATTTACTACTACTACTACTACTAGTACTACTACTAGTACTAGTACTACTACTACTACTACTACTACTA